TTTGCAGGAAAAGTGTGCTGACTGCTACCCTAGGGCCCCACCCCCAATTCGTCAGTGGCCTTTATATCTATCCACAGTGTACTGCTCTGCTTTCTCCAGTTTTCCCTTGTTCTTGAAGGAAGAACTAACAGCATATATCTCAACACCTTCAGCAGTTTTCTCATTGTAATTCTTGGATCTTTTCATTAAAATCAAATGTTATTCTTACTATTAAACAAATGAAAGTAAAACTCAATGAAGAGGTGGGATAAAATAGAAAGCTGCCCCTGGTGCCCTCGAAATCATATCATGAAAGAATGGATGGTTCCATGGCATAGAGACCTCTTCATCCGCAGAGGTATTCAAGGAAAGTTAGGAATCTCCAGACACTTAGGGAAGTTGTAGAGAACAAATGAGGATTCTCTGAAATATTGACTTCAAAGTTTGTTCAAAACTCAAAGTAAATGGTTTATTGACTCTAATCTTTTACTCTGTTAGGTATAAGAGTAAGTCCAGAGTGGTATCTTCTCCCACAGCTTCTACCCATGAGATATGTCTAAAAGCCTCTTGCAAGTCTAATCCAGAAGCAACAGTTATAAAAAGCAGAAGGATATCTGAGTGCTCTGGATCCTTCTTTCACAGCAATGACCACACTAGCAATTACGGTGATGTTTGTGAGATTATCTCTTTAATAGCTACTTCTTTTGGGCTTTCTCAACTGGGCTTTCACATCTGAACCACAGAACCCAGAAAATGCATTGCAAATTATTTTCTCAATTACTCAAAGGGATTTGTCCTTAAGCAATTGTGGGAACTGGTTATCTAGTCTATGCAAGGTTGTTATTTGTAGATCTGAAGTTCATATGACAGGCAATCAGCTAGAGAAGGCGGACATGAATTGAGAGAGGCAAGGTCAAGCTAGAACTTGCACCACTGACCAAGTAGCAGAAGAAAGTGAATGTCTTCTTTCTGTAATAGAGTTGTATTCATTTTAATGTAAAAAATGATTTAATTCCTTATGAGTAAAATTAGTTAATTCTTTCTCTTAAATCCTTAAGCACAACAGATGTTCCAAAAAGATTTACCTCACCACTCGGCACCTCTGTCATGTTGATGATGATGATGATGATGATGATGATGATGATGATGAAGAATGTTAAATGGATTACCTAATTTCATCTTCATAACATCTTCATTTTGTTAAATAGAAATTAAGAAACTAAGACTCAGAGCTGTTGGGTAGCTCCTCTGAAATCAAAAGACTGGGGTCACAAGTGGCACAAGAAATCGCAAGGCTGAGATCTCAAGAGTCTACATTTATAATCATTATCTAACATTGCCTCCCTAAAAAGATTCAGTGCTAAGTTTAAGAAGTCCAGTAAAGAGACCCAACTAAGATGGAATCTATAATATTTACATGAAAGAAAGTCGAGCCACAAATAATTTTAAAACATACATGCAGTAAGCTTGAGACATTTAAGCTTAGTAAATTGATAGTTACTCTTCAAAGCATTATGAAAATAGCTGATGGGCAAATGAAAAATGAAATAAAAGAGATGAAGGCTGAGATAAAGGAAAAGTGAAAGGGACAGACAGAGAGAAATTCATTGTACATTTAGAATGAGTTTGTTAAATTGAATATACCTGTGTGCCTTTCCTTGGTTGCGAAGATCTGGATGACCAATAACTACATCAAAATCCAGATATTTTGAGTAGGTATTGGTGAAGGAAGAAGTACCCACTCTTACTTACCCAAAAGATGAAAATGACAGGCACCACAACTCTAGTTCCCCATAGAGTTAAAGCCAAGGCTAGGGCGAGAATGCAAATGAACCACTTAGGGTATAATATCCTCAACAAGTAAATAGGTTTCCTGCTAGAAGGCTTCTCACATCCCAGGAGCCAGAACCAATGAATCCTGACCTCCTACTCTCATAGGCCTTATTACATCAGCTTCCATCAACATAATTTATGCAATAACTCATCACCCTTCCAATGCACAGATCCTGCAGCCCTGGAAGGCTAGGATAGTATTTTAAAAGTAAAATAAATTGCTGTAATCCACATAACATTCAGCACATTGCTTTGCATGTTCAATAAATACGTGTTAATCACCAAATGATTACACGTCTCACCATGAACAATTGAGGAAGGCAAAAATTATTCCAAACCAAAACTGTGCTTAAAAAACACTTCACATTTAATGAATGAAAGGGAGGTTAAAAGCCATTGCGTTATGAGAAAAACATCTTTTTAGTATCAAAGATAGTTTTCCAAGCAGTCTAGATATATTTTAATTAGAAAATGAGATTAGACATTTAAAACCATGATTTTTTTTTTCCTTCACCATTCTGATCATCCCCAGGGGGTAGAAACTGTTCTAGTATCATCTTCCTGTCTCTACCGAATATGTTTTATTAGTGTGACTCAAACAGAGAATGTCTTGCTAGAGGTGAAATTATTTTTGTCTAAAAAGAGAAAATCTGCAAGGCTGTTAATGTTTCCGGCTGACTTAGAAAGATATTTTTTAATTAACAATCAATGATTCCATGTGTATTTTTTCGTGTGCTTTTTACCAATTAAATACTGGTCGTGGTAAACTCAACAATCCTATGATTCAGTTGTTTGTATTAACACCCTTCAGTCCACAGATTCTAGTATACTTACCAACCATGCTTCTTGATTTTTGTGATATTCAGTGATGATACTGTATGTACAGATTGAGTTTCACAGTAGAAAGTATGAATAAATATTATAGGTGCCCTTATATACTCCGTCGTACTAATTATTTTTGTTAAATAAAAGAATGTTTTGCCACATCAGTCAATTGTAGACATTGTAGATGGTTTCTACAATTTGTAATTTGAATACTCCTCAGAAGCATTTCTTCTTTATGGACTGTTTACTCTAGCTCGAATGTCCTTACTCTATCTCCCAATATTCAAATGTTCTGTCCTTCGTTTCTCAGCTTACATGCCACCAGTTCCATGAAGCCTTACCAGACACCTCCTTCAACAGAGTTGAGCAATATGTGGCAGGTAGCATTATTAATACTACTTATTACCAATGTGTACCACTGGTTGGATTGCCCTGAAGCAGAATTCCAAAGCCTTAGCTTAGGTCGTTGGGGCCTCCCCACTTCCTTCTCTTGCATGTCCTCATTGTGCCATCTTCTGCCACTCACATTTGGGGCCCACTCTAACTCCGGCAGCGCCAGATGGGAAGGCAAAATATGAGATTCCCTGGCATCATTGCCCAGGCCTCCAGCAGTGGCTCGCTGTCACTTTTGATCTCTCTGTGAATTTATTGCCCAGAGTAGAGCTTTAGAACAAGTAACTCTTCTTTATATGTCATTCCTCTCCACCATTTCGGAGTTGCCATTTTCAGTCCCAAGCTGCCTAAAAACTGATCAAATAGGCTCTAAAGAGAAAATCCGTAACTAAGAATTGGATGTCAGGTTAATAAACCTGAAAAGGGCTATTTTAAAATTTCATCAAGATGATCCAAGTTTAGTAACTACAGCCCATTTATAATTAGAGTATTTATTAAATATATCTTCATAACAAAAATTCCATTAAGCCACTATCTGCCATATTAACCCAAGATCATTTCATATTAAAAATACTATATAAAAATGTAAGTGGAGACTCAATTTCTTTCATTAAAATAAAAATAAGTTACTACGTCATGAAATGTTCTTTATGGTAAGGTTAACAATGACAAATTTTATGAAACTCTTCTAAGAAATCTGATTACTTTTTATGCAAAACATTTGTTTGACAACGTCATGTTATAATAACAAAGTTTTAAAGAGAAAAAAGGCACAGATTTGTTACATGATAAACCCAAGTTTGGGGATGGGGCAGAAGAAGGAGGAAAGAAAGGAAAAAATTAAACACAAAGGAGCATTAGCTCTAAAATCCAAGTGCTTAAATCTCCAGCTGTTTTATTTTCACTTTGTTCTCCATCTTCTATGTGGCCTTCGACATAGTGTAACCCCATAATTCATTTTTTGGTACAACTTATAACTAGTTTACTCAAAAATATTTCTAATCCATGTAATTTTCCAAGTAACTTTTAAACATTTTTTTTTTTACTTTGTTTTAACTTAAAACCCTTTGAAAAATGTATTACTATAATTTCTGAAGCTGTGTTTATACAGGATATGGAACACATTTCAACTTCAATTTCAATGAAACTATTTCTTCTACTAGACTTTAAACGGTAAGGCCATTTCGCGTATCTTTCTGCCCCAAAGTGATTGTATTGTAACTAGGAGATGTTTAAAATCATTTAGATAGTCTCTGGCTTATTTGGAGAAGCCTTAGATTGTAATCCTAAACTCGTTATCACACAGTGCAAACATCTTTAAATACTTAGCCATGGATAAACTGAATAGTTTAATATCGCCGATGTGAATCTAACTCCCAAAAATATAATCCGAAAATTATTTTTTTAAATACACCCTTAAGAGTAGACTTTTTTGTTATTATTATTTTCTCCTTTCTGTTAATGTTGTCAAGAAAATCTGTTTATTGAGATTTGAAGTTGGAGACCATGAGCTTTCAGACTGAGCGTTAGTTACCACGCTTGCTTGATATCCTCAATGCCTAGCATACTTGTTCAGTGCAGAGAGGCTGTCAATAAATGTTCTTAGTCAAAAATAAAGATTTATTACATATGATGTTATGTATATGTTGGCCACGATAAATATAACTATACGGGATTGTAAATTTATATTATTCCTGAAACAATTTGGTGCTTTCATTTCTATTTTTAGAAAATACCTATATGCATAAAGTACTGTGGTATTTTTGCGTGCAGTACAATTCAAAATCGTGATGCTTGCTGGCAAGTAGATAAAGTATGGGAGGGGCTGTGTATATTGAAAATCAATGCCCCCTAGAGAAAATATACAGTCATATATAAATCCAGATATTCTGCCAGCCGACTCAAGTTCCCTTAAACCTGTCATTCAAACAAGAAAAGCCTGATTGAACAAGCTGGAGGAGGTTGTGAATTCTGTCCCCTGGGATGGTCACCTTCAGTGAAAGAAGGAGAGGGAGAAGGAGTCGGGGAGGATGATAATATAATGTCTTGCTTTGGCAAGAAAAATTCCTTCCTGCGAACGCTGGAGGTAGAAAATTCTCCCTGTGTAAGAGGCATGGTTATATAACATTCCTGAAACAGATGAACCATGAATTCCAATGAAAGCTTCATTCCTTCAGAATGCCATAAGTACTAGAAGTTAATTTATGGACTCGCCTGAAGTGCAGATGCTCAATCTGAGTCCTCTGACAGCCTCGCTATGTTAAAAGCGAGTTGGATCCCAGCGCTCTCGAAGTTGGAGAGGCAACAGAGAACCACCTTCCCTGATTGTCTGATCAAGATTCCACTTGAGTGAAGACACCAGCTTACTGGGTATCGTGTCTAATGAGTAAATTTGCAAGCCTCCTACTTTAAATGAGTTGTGTGCATTTATTTTCTACAAACGAAGAAATCTGGTAAAAGCTTGTCTAATTTAGCCTCATCTTTTACACATTTTTAGACAAAATAGGGGAAAATGACTTTTAAAAACGGTTAATGGATTCTTTTTTTTTTTTCTTTTCTGTTTTTGGCAAGGAGGTGAGTAGAATAGTTCAGGGAGTTCTTCTTGAGGTTTTTCCGCTCATTACCAATTATTTAACAAAGATACTCCAATCTGCATTTTATATCTTTATGTTATTGACATCATATTCCTAGGAGCTGTCTAGCTGTTGGAGACTGGCTTTTATCTTTTCCGAGTACTTGCAGTCTAAAATGGACAATGACAGCAGTCCCAGCCTTACTGAAGCTCGTCAAACTGTCTCATTCAAAGTGATGACTGAGTTGGATTAAACCCAAGGACTCAGCTACCGGTATTAACCCATCAGATGGTGCAGCCCCTCAGCCGCTTTAATCATTAGGGTGGGATTAATACGCATGCTCTGCCACCTCCTTGATGCCTAGGAAATCACGCCAGGAGAATGTGGACGCTTCAGCGGGCTGAGCTTTAATCACACCAGGCAAAACATGACAGTTTGGAAATTAACTCAGGAGGATAAACTTGGAAAGGAGATTAAAATAGCCTGGGTGTTTATCAACAGATTGTACAATATTAGCCAAGCAGATTTCCCAAACGCCTCGTGAGCACCCCTGTGATTGGTGCCCTCTATGTTCTTTGTTTGAAAATAAACAATGAAGAGTTTACACACGCACATCAAAAGTAAGGCAGGTAAGTAGCTAACAGGGTTATAGGTAACATTGTACACATTTCAGGGAGAACAAACACTCGGGTAAAGAGAGCATTGGCAAGGTCTCCAACAGAATTTAAAATACTTTCTGCTCCAAGTCTGCACATGTCCAAATAAATCATGATGCATTTGAGCTCCGCTGGGCTGTTTTTTTTTCTTCCTGACTGTAATAAGCATGCTTGATTGTCAGGCCCTGCTGTTCTTAGGGCAAAATCAAAAAGACGATATTAACTTCTTTCAAAGATGTAGCACCAAAGCAATAGAAGAATGCAAATAAATCAATTCTGCATGCTTAAGTCCATCTCCCTTTCATGCAAGCCTGATGATAGAGACGGTGTCCTTTTCCCCCAACTCTACCTTATCATTTTGAGGTATGAAAAATAGATTGTGTCATAGTAATGAAGCACAGGAAAAGGGAGCTTGTTATAAGCTGATTACAGTTTAGATTGAAGGACTGGTTCTCATTAGCTGTTTTAGATTGGACAGCATCCTTGAGCTGTAGTAATTACTGAAAGTAATTTTTGAAAGGGAGGGTGGGGCAGCTGGTACAAGGAGAGACTCCAACAGTTGCATGGGGATTGGAAAGAGGGGTGGGAGGGGAGACCTGCAGCCTGCCAGGTTGTCATTACCCCCAGTCCTATGGCAGAATGAATGAAGCAGCTGCATCTGGCTACTTTCTTATTAGGCGCTACAGCAATAAGGAGAGAGCACTTTGCATGGAGGAATGAATAGGCCTGAGTGGTAAGAGGCCTATTTAAAGTTCAAGTGAGCAGGGTGACTCCCTGGAGCTATGCCCTCAACACAGAAGCTCAGTTTTCATCCAATAATAAATGTGATGAAGGCAGGTTTCATTGCTGGTTATAGAAGCAGACTTAAAAAAAAAAGCAGATGCTAAATGATGGTCAATGTAAAAGAATCTATTTTGTTGCTTTATTAAGTGAATTTGAGAGTTGACCATTTCCCTGGTTCAAATAGGATGAAATATGCAACCTTATCAGTCTTGGAGGTATTCTGAGTCCATCTCTACGTGCTTTGGTCCAAATGCAAGGTTTTGATCCAGCTTTTTCTGCAGTATCGGATGGAAGTTTCAGGTAAGAAAATATGCTGTTCGTTTTTTGACTTGGGGAGACTAGAAGTTTGGAGGCCTGGTGTCTAGCTCTAGACGTGCCACTAACTAGACCTCTGGTGACCCCAAATAAACCATTTAACTTCTCAGTGTGTCTGGGAAATAAAAGAAGCAAATTCAATGTTTTCTAATGCCCCTGATATTATTGACTTCTCTGATTCCGATTATTGTCTCTTTGAGCTAATTTATTGAGAATGAGATTAAAAATAACAAAAGATAAAAGTCTTCTCTCTAAAGCAATGAACAAATTCTGCACAAGACTAAGACAAAAATTTCTTACACCTAAACATACGACATCTGGGCCCTACTCCAGTGGGAAAATAAGGAGCATTTACTGAGACCCTAAAATGAGGAAGAGTTTTTATGCATTGGTCCCATGATGACCGTGCAACAGACAGATAGAGTCTGAGCCCCCAAAACGCCATGTCACATGCCCATGGTGACCAACATCATAAGTGAGAGAGACACAACACATGAAGCTGCCTGCCCACTTGCATGAGCAAACAGCCGTGAAATAGTGGACTGAGTCGATGACAATTACAGGAGAAATGGATAGGCACTTTTGCAGCAAAATTTCAGTAGCATTCAGAGGCTTCTCTTACACTATCAGAATGTTGCATTCCCTCCACTATATTTGGATTCACAAATGTACCATCTCCAGAAAGCCCTATTAAAATACAAATGTGCTGCCTGGGAGGAATAAATTCATTAAGCCATTAGTGAAAATTAACAGTCTTTATAAAATTAACAGCCTGAATTTAGCAGATCGGCCAGCTTGTCATTCAGTAGAAAACAGATTCTAAGAGGAGAACATGAAGTCGAAGTTTCTTCTCCAAAAAGGTTCTGGACCTAGGGATGCTGCTACAAGGGGCAGGGACAAGTGTGTACAACTGTCAGATTTCCTGAGCAGTGAAACAGAAGCAGGGACCCTAGCAGCTTCAGACTGACCAGCAGGGTGCGGGGGAACCAATGAGGAATAAAAGATGAGAATAGAGGAAAGGTCTTAGGGGTGGGGAAGGAACATGGTAGTGGGGGTACTAAGATCCATATTATCACTTGACTGTTTCGCTGAAGACTGCAAGTAGCCCTCAAGACTCGAGACTTTTACAGAGATCATCATGATTTTAAAAATGATTTAGTCCAACGACTTTCAAATCGAAGTCACTAAAATCTACCCCCCACATTCGAAACTTTGAAACAGAGAAAGCCCAGTTTTATCTGTGTTCTGTACTGGGCTTTTATGTAATAAATAGTTTAAAGAAAGGATTTGGATATTAAAAAAGGAAAAAGTAGAAGAAGGAAGGAAGGAAGGAGAGAGGGAAGGAAATGAGGGAGGGAGGGAAAAGGGGGAGGAGGAAAAAGAAGTTTGGAAACTAGTGATCTAATCGAATACTCGGCAAACTTCTTCAGTAAAGAGCCAGATAGTAAATATTTTAGGATTTATAGTCCACGGGTTTCTGTGGCGACTCTGTAAACAAATGGATATGGCTGTGTTTTAATAAAACTTTATTTACAAACCAGGTAGCATTTGACCCCTGATTCTAGGCCAAGTTCCCTATGCCCTTACAGCTATAGAAGATGAGGCCCAAATAGTTTAGTAATTGCCCAAAGCCACTCAGGTCTTCTTCTTCAATGTCAGTGATCTTTTCACAGAATCTCCATGTAGGCCTACTTGAGTTTAAAATATCAGTAACACATTGAGGACCTTGAAATAATCATACTAAGTGAAGAAATAAGCCAGAAAGAAAAGGTTGAAAGTCACATGATATCACTTATATGTGGGATATAAATTTAAAAGCAACAAATGAACAGGACAAACAGAGACTCATGGACATGGACAATAAACTAGTGGTTACCAGAGGGGAGGGAGGAGGGGAAAAAATAAATAAAACATTAAAATAAATAAATAAATAA